GTGGGTGTTTGGTTAGGTGGTGTGTTTTTTTTTGTGTTAAAGTTTGGTGTTTTTTTTTTTTTATAAAAATAAACAAAATTTGCACACAAAAACAAACCCCCAGCCACTCATTAACCCAAACCCCCCTCGCCCCCCCACCTCCTTCAGGCACCCTTGCTGATCTCTATAAATACCCACAACAGGGGCACATCATCCTGGGCACAGAGAGAACTGCTCCTGTCTGTGCTCCTGCCCTCTGAAGATGCCGGTCACAGGAAACAAAACTTCCAGAACATGGCCACACAGCCCAGAAGACCCACACCAGCCATCGAAAGAAACCGTGTTACTGCATCAACAAGGTGCTTTTCACCGTTCTTCCTGCATTTGTGAAACCCAGGCATAGCTTCCCGGAGCTATCAAAAAGGGCTTCTGCAGGGACAGATTCTGGAGTCATAAAGACCCATCAAAACTAGTCTGATCATTAATTTCAAGTCATATTACAAGTGCAGGAAATCTTAAGTCAGATTTTTCCCTTTCCTTACCAGCCACATTGAAGATTAACTAAGAATCTGGCAAAAAGTTTGGGGAAAACAATTGTCTTTATGGGTGGCTAGGTAGAATTTTCCATGAGGAGACCCTGAAACAATCTCATGCTGCTATGCTAAATTGCTTTTCGCCTGCCTTTATTGGTTGCCAGGTAGACTTTTTCTATGGAGAAACCATCCCATGATGCTGTGAAAATGTTCATGAGGAATTTAAAAGACCAGTCTAGTTTGATGGTAAGCCAGCTATTTGTTCTATGACACCCATCTGGGAGGCAGCAAACTAGAGAACCATAAGGCATTAACTAATACTGAGATTAGTAATACACGATCTAGGATTTGCAAAACGGCAGTAGCATTCCCACATTTTAATTTCCTTAAGTTATTTGTGATTACCTTGTAGTAGCTGATAAAAAAATTGGTTGCCTGTGATTAATATTTCTCCAGTAAGGGAGGAAGGAACATCTCTCACTTTTTCCATTCTACATGCTTGAGATTTTGCAGGAGAAAGGCAATCATTTCTAAGTGATACAAACAGAGAGCTAAAATGGAGCATATGAATCACTGGCTGTACTAGAACTTCACTGTAATCATATCAGAGCTCAAATTTACACTCTACCCAAGAATAACAATGATTGAAGGCCTTCATTTTATTTACTTACTTAGTTTATAGACTGGTCCTAGAAGGGGAAAAAAGTAATCAGGAAACTTAAGCCATAATTTAAATAGTCAAAATCAATCTATCAGTCAGTCTATCAGTCCTCAGGTCTACAATAATAAAATACATTCACCACAAAATATAAGCCAGACTAGCTGAAATTTCAAAAGTGGGCACACATACAATTGTTGGAGGAATCAAAATAGGTTGATAATGGAAGCAAAACACTCACTGTCCATGAAGGAACTATCAGTAGAGAATCAGCCTTAATCAAGTATCTGAAACTTTTTTCATGCTGCTCCTATCTTTTGAAAGGGATGCTCAGAAATGCATGCCACAAAGTGGGGATGGCCAGAAAAAAAAAAATGTAAATTAAGATTTCCTGCACTTGTAATAAAACTTGAATGAATGAATTATATGTTATTCTATATATATTAAATAATTTCCCAAGGTTCTCCTGCTTCCATTCTTTAACAACCTGAAGAACAACAACGCACAAGAATCAAACAGGTGGGCCAAAAAGTTGATCCCACTCTGCCCTTTTTGGTGATGTGATTGTGAAGCCTGCCCTGGAAGGTGGGAAGGCTGAGTTGTAGCCCCTGACCCTTCAAACATTGCCTAACCTGCAAAAAGGAATTTGCCTCTAATGACAAAGCTGTCTTTTTGCTAATATTGCACCACACCAAGAATGATGTAAAGGATAAATAAAATATAAATGTTTTAAAGGAATCTGATCTCTCTGGAGTTGTGTAGCCTTTTTCAGAACAATTTCAACTTCATTAAATTAGGCAGATAAGCCACCTGTTCACAATCCTTCCTGTCTATATGGAAATTGGCTTTATTGGTGCCAACCACTGATTAGGGTTATGCAGCCTTTTAATTTTTGATCCTAAAAAGGTGCTTCAGAGTTCATGGAGAAAGAAACATAGCACCTCTTTCTAGCTCTTTAAAACAATAGGTGCTATGCTTGCTCTCCCATGTGCTCCAGAACACCTCCAGAATCAATCCAGGGGGCTGCACAACCTTATCATGTGTAAGCAGCTGATTTAGCACTGCCTCTTCATGGGAATGAGGGGAGACTGTTATTAAAAGTCTGCTGCAATTAGAATTATAGGAAATGCAAAGTATACATCCCATTGGCCTTGCTCAAACCATGTTTTGCATCTGACATTCTAAAGAAGGGAACTTGGGAATTGTATATGGGCTCCCCATATTAGGTACATCCCTCACCCTGCAAAATTTTAAATCACTTGGAAAGACCTACTAGTACAAAGCAATGTTGTAAACCAAGTGAGGACTTCATGCATTATCTTTATTTCCAGGAATGCCTCTGCCATGTGTCCCCCTGTTATGCTTATGGGGAAAGAGGCTGAGTGGTTGTAGCTCAGTAATTTGCTTGGATGTCCACTTACCCAGAGAAAGGAGAGAGGTTGGCACAGAATGATGTGGGACGTTAAAAGGGCACGAAGAAACCACTTCACCAGTTTGTCTTCTGGAAAATAATATACATGTGTACATATGTCCACCATGGTATCCATTTTGTTGGACTGCCCATAGAACACACTAAAAGATCCGTATATGCCCAGTGGTCAAAACAGATTGGAAATGTCTCATATAAAATGTTAACATGCAATGTAGGGGTGGAGGTGGTTGAAGACAAATTATGTAAGATTCTAAATCATGACATTGCAGGAATTATATTTTTAATTTGAAATAAATGTTGACCACATATAGCTCAACGGAATTGAAGATATTGCGTGGAGTTTCTGCTTGGAAATGGCTGTGCACCTGACATTCTCAAATGCCACAGATGCCAACCAGATGCCTCTGCCAATGGGAAGCTCTCAAGCTGCACAGGAGTAACATCAGGTTTCCATTTCTCAGCAACTAGTTTTAAGAGGAATAGTGTCTCCAATGTGGAAAGAATATATATCTATCTTTAGCAGAAGTCACCGTGATTAGTTGTTTTTCTCTCACTGTCCTAAAATTAGAACTGGAGATTGTGCCAACAAAGCCAAGTAGCACAGACTCAGGACAGAAGAAATGGCTACTTCTTATGTTCTTCACTGTATCTGCCAGTTAATGACCAAACATACATATGTATATATGTACAGTATATAACTTACATATAGCGAAATCTTGTTGGCAAGGAGTCAGGTAGGGGCCCTCATACACACACACACACACCTTGGCCACATCCCACTGTTTCATTCCCACAAGCCTTGCTTCCCATATGGATATCCCTGTAAATGGTTTCCCATCTTTTTTTTAATGAAACCACTCAAAATACTTTGGAGTCATCAATAAACCTGAATGTCTCACTGTTAATTTGAAATACCCAGGTTTTATTGTATGAAAAATTGGAAAGTGCCTGTTCCAATACAGAATCTTAGATTGACCCCTCATGTATCTTGCACACATTATCAATTTACTCTGCTTTCTGTTCTTTAACTATTACTGTTTCATAGGACAACATTTCCTTTTGACCAAAAGATCCTTAGGCAACAAGGCTGGAATTGTCTAGATCCATCTTAGCTACCTTTTAAAGAATTGCTTTCATGTTGATCACTTTCCCACTTTTTTGGAAGAAGGATGGAGAGGAGGTCAATTATCCAGTGGCTCTCAACCATTTTGATACCTGGAATCACAGTCATCCAGGGAGGAATCTATTCCAAACATGTAGATAGGATAACACTAAATACCTATGCCAACATTACAAGCAGAAGAGTACACTTAAAAATATTTAACTCTTTTTTCTGCAATCACACTGAAAATTGAGTAGAATGGACCCAGCATTGAATAATATAGTAGATAAATATTATAGTTCCTTGTTTCTAGTTTGTTTTCTACA